GGCTTTCACCAAAGCCTGGTCTCCTTACTATTATGGGAATTTTTCTTCTTAATGTCTTTCCAATGCCTCGAAGAGTGTGAAATGGGGATTCACATACAGAATATAGTGTGGTTGGATACATGGGTTATACAAAGCAAATACATTTATTTATACATTATGTTTATAAATAATTTATATGTAACGTATAATAATGGATATGTAATGTATAATAGTGTTTATATACTTCTATACAACATGTTATACAAATTTTAAAACTGAAAAACAAAAAAATGAAGAGGGTTCTATGGTAGCTAGGGGAAGAACTTAAAAAAATAACATTAAAATAGAATTTGCTTGATGAAATTCAATGTAAACATATGTTGGCTATTTTAGATGTAAAAAATTATTGGGCTATACTTATTGCAAACTGTTTGTTTGGGCTGTACATATGGCTAAGTATCCCTTAAAGAACTGAGGAAATCCATATTCAATTGTATGTTTACAGAGGTTGGGTGGTTTATGTGCCGCTAACTGAATCTTGAGGGGGATAGTCCTAATTAACCTTTTTTTTGTCTTTTTCTTATAGCCCTAAAAAGAGTAGTTACAAGTAAATCTGATTTTTGCATTAAGCTAGTTTTTAATTTTGATCATTTCTACTTCATTCTTCATTGACCTCCTTATAAAGCTATTGGCTATTTGAGCCTTTAATTGGTTTTTTTCTCCTCATTTGATGAGTTCATTATCCTCACCATAGACCTCAAGTTGAAAACCTTTCTAGGACTTAAACAGTGCTTATGAGATGTAGTATCATTTGATTCTGTTTATTTCGAGTATGTTAATACAATTTGATGAAACTTACTTCTATCATTTGATTCTGTTTAATTTGAGTATGTACATACATGATACACTTAATGAAACTTACTTTTAGCTTCTTTGCCATTAATTCTGCATAAAGTTGGTATTTGTAGATTTTAAGGTGATTTAGGCACCTATGTTATATATTGTGTGGTAAGGTCAATCCGTCTTCTGTGCTAATGGTACCATCTGGATTCAGCCTCTCCGATGTCTATGTTTGGTAATTCATATCCTACTGGCGGTGGTCCACTATCTCAGAACCATGTTCAAGCGGTTGGCAACCTTAATTCCATGGGAATGCTGAATGATGTGAATTCAAATGATGGATCTCCATTTGATATCAATGATTTCCCTCAGCTAAGCAGCCGTCCTAGTTCTGCTGGAGGGCCTCAAGGACAATTAGGTAATCAAAGTGCCTTTCCTTCCTGTTATTCTGTGGAAATGATTTTATTTAGTTATTCATTCAGAATTCTGAGGAAGGAATGATCTCAGGTTCATTGCGAAAACAAATTGCTCAACAAAATCAAGAATTCAGCATTCAAAATGAAGATTTTCCGGCCTTGCCAGGATTTAAAGGTAATCATATGCATGCACAATGTTCTTCTCATGCTTTCTTAGGTTAGTTAATTAACCACTCCCCCGATGAAACTTTGGTGCGACAATTTGTTTGATGGGGTCAGAAAAGAAAAGGTCGGCGGAGGGAAGTAGAGTAATATGAGTCATTTCCCTGTTTAGGAAACAACTAGGGGAGCTGAAAGTACAAGTTTGCATACCTCTCTCTGAGTTTTTTCATTTACTTCGTTTATTTTTTCACCGCAAAGGAGTCTGATTTTATTTTTCATTGCAAAAAGGATCTGATTTTTTTTTAAACTTAATGTTATTGGATACGCATTCTCAATTCCTAGTATGTGGTTGGTGGTGTACCCCACAAGGTAAACTTGCTTCCTAGTCCTGGATTTTATCTGGGATGTTGCTCTCTTTTTCTCCTGGGAGGGCTTGGAATTATGGTTTGGGCATGCTTATGGGGTTTTATTCTTTAGTTTTGTTTCCAGGTCTGAGTTTGTCTGTTTGTTTGTTTTTTCCCCTTTCTTTTATGTATAGCTAGAGATGGTTCCCAGTTGCTTTTGCATGTTATAGGAGTCTACTAAATGGAATTGCTCTCATGTTTGCTTAGGTGGAAATGCTGATTATGCTATGGATCTACACCAGAAAGAACAACTACATGATAATACTATTTCTATGATGCAGCAGCAGCACTTCTCTGTAAACACAAATTTCTGAAATACTGGATTATTATTTTAATGTTGTGATTACTGATTAATTGTGAATGTTTTAGCCTCATGACACTGCCCCCTATCTCTCATTATCTAAGGCACAGATGGGCAGATCTGGTGGTTTTAACTTGGGAGGGACATACTCATCGCTTCGCTCACAGCAGCAGCAGCAACATGCCTCATCGGTGAGTAATAGTGGTCTCTCTTTTTCAAATGTAAACAACCAGGATCCACTACATTTACATGGTTCAGATGTCTTCCCGTCATCACACTCCAGTTATCACCAACAGGTGCATTACCTTATACATTTTTTTTGCTATTATTCGTTTTATTTTTCTCTGTTTGTTTCTTTTTATATTTGTGTGTGTATGGGTGGGGGTACAGAGGTGATATATGGGTCACATTCACTTTGCATAAAGAGTTGATTGAGGCCTCCCTTTGCTGGCGACTTCCTAATAAAATTTTAAGATATGTTTCCCCTTCCTCTGTTTCTATTTGGGTGTGTTTTTAACTTGTTCTCATTTGGGTTGGGTTGGGGGAGAGTTGAGATTGGTATACATTTGTTGCTGAGTGCTTGTGGACATTGGCTGATTCCAAAAACAGTAATTTGATTTTACCAGAAGTGCCATTTGCTTTTGAAGCATGAGTGAGTTGTGTTATGACATGGAAAGCTAGCAGTTTCTGTTAGTATTATGATGAAGATGCTTTTTCCATGCATAATTTTTAGTGGCTACAAGGTCCGTATTCATACAGCTTTAGGTGATATTTTGCTCTTTTTTCACTCTATTTGATTCAGTCTGGTGGACCTCCTGGTATTGGGTTACGGCCTCTTAATTCTCCAAGTACTGTTTCTGGTATTGGCTCATACGATCAGCTTATCCAGCAGTATCAGCAACAGACTCAATCTCAATATCGCCTGCCGCATATGTCCGCTATAGGCCAGCCATACAGGGATCAGGGTATGAAATCCATGCAGGCTCAAGCTGCTCCTGACCCTTTTGGTATGCTTGGCTTGCTAAGTGTAATAAGAATGAGCGATCCGGATCTGACTTCTCTTGCACTTGGAATCGATCTTACGACTCTTGGATTGAACTTGAACTCTGCTGAAAATTTACACAAAACATTTGGTTCCCCGTGGTCTGATGAGCCTGCCAAGGGTGATCCAGAATTTACGGTACCACAATGTTATTATGCCAAGCAACCACCTCCTCTAAATGTGAGTGACCTCTATTTTCCTGTTTATCTTTATCTGTTTTACATTTTTCTTTTTAAATCTTCTGATATGTTTCGAATTGGCTGCAGCAAGCATACTTTTCCAAGCTTCAGTTAGACACTTTGTTTTACATTTTCTACAGGCGAGTCTCTCTCTGATAAGCAAGTCTAGTTCTTGGCCATAAAATTTGAATGTAGAATTAACTTGATCTATTTTTCTTTGCAGCATGCCAAAGGATGAAGCACAATTATATGCTGCTAATGAATTGTACGTCCTTTCTTTTGTACGAAAATTGGTTTTATATGGAGCTCGTTTGTTCTACTGTAGCTCCTGATAGCAATCTAGCTTCTTGGGATACCACATACTACATAATTGACCTATTTGACTTGCTTTTGTTCTTTGTTGAATCTATTTGTTTACAATTTCACATCATTTCATACAGGTATAACCGGGGGTGGTTTTACCACAGAGAACATCGATTGTGGTTTATGAGGGTTGCCAACTTGGAGCCTCTTGTCAAGACCAACGCCTATGAGAGAGGATCTTATATTTGTTTTGATCCAAACACATGGGAGACAATCCGCAAGGTATGGATTTCATTTTACCTTTTTTTTTTAAAATTTATGTTAATTGTAGGAATTGAGGTTCTAGTTTTCTGATTTCTCCGCAATCCCTATGCAGGATAATTTCGTACTCCACTATGAAATGTTGGAAAAAAGACCTGTTCTACCTCAGCACTAACGAGATTATGTTCAGTTTACAGTGTACATTTATTCACAGAATCCTTGTAGGTGCCAGCTAGTTCTCACCTGTAGTTTTCAGCTCTATTGGGCTTTTTGGCAACCAGCCGTTGTTACTGTATTGTTTCTCAGTTATTAATTTACCCCTTGTATTTTAAGATGCTGCAAGTCTAAACGAAAAAAATAGGTTCAGTACAGTTCTCGCATTTTCCCCCGTCAGCTTAACTTTTGCTGATGGGAACAACATTTTTGGGATAATTTTATAGAAATATAAGTGACTTGTTGTGAAAGCTTTTACCGTCTAATAGCCTGTTTGGCTAAAGCTTATGGGAAGCCATAAGTGTTGAGTAGCAGAAGCAGTTTTTCCCCATAAGCGTTTTTTGGAACGTTGGCGAAAACATGTGAAACCTAGCGTGTTCCTCAACCACACAACTTCATATTGTCCATTCCTGCAGAAAAAAAAGTTAATATGTTGATGTACTTTTGTCCCCACTCCAATACCTAGATCCCACGCAAACCTTATAAGCTCTATAGTTTACCAGTTATGAAGGAATAAAGCCATGTTGTCTATCCGCTTTAAAGAACTGTAAGTAAATCTTCTCGTAATTTCTCCGCCTCAAACTGCACGTTTGCTTCTCCAAGATTAGACACAAGGGGCGAGTGTTTACACCAAATCAAACAATTTAATCAAGTGCTCATGTTAAAATCATATAAACTTTTCATGGTTTAAGTGATAAAATGAGGTGAAAACGTGTATTACAAACCATGGTAAGGTGAATTTTTTATTTTGTAGGAACCACATTTATTGATTTCGTGTAAATTACTAGGGGAGAAACACCAGATTGAGTCCAGAAGTGAATTCAAGAGTATGCACATGATGGTATAGCCAATGATCTATCTGTTAAACCACAAGACATAAAGAAAAAAAATACAATTTGGGGTAGGATTTACAGAGTTGCTATTTATTTTTTTTCCAAAATTTTATATAGCATACATTTTCTTGTTTTTATTGTTTAGAACATCTGAATCAGAGACTACTGATGCTGACCAGGACAAGGACCTACTGGCCAGAGAGTTCTTTCGAATGTTCCTCTTGTTCGATGACTCTATTCGATGCATTATGACCCAATAACACATAGTCCCTAGTGTTGTAACTAATATAGCTGTTCCTATAATAGTCACTACAATAGCCAGCCACTTCTCATTTTTGCCAACCACAACATAAGACAGAGCCAAGAATGCCACTGAAATTAGCACACATGCTAACCACATTAGCTTGTTTATGATTGCCATCATTTGCTTCTTTGCTTTGCTTTCGATTACCACGATTGATGTCTGAACAACCACAACTGCCAGAGATATAAAAAGGGCAAAGGAGTCGAAGACGAGGAATATCAGGAATGAGGGAGTTGGAGCTATATTTGCTTCTCCAAGGGAATGACCTGGTGGGACATCTTCTGGATACTCAATGTATTGGCCTGGAACAGAGAAAATTGCTGCAAAGGCAACTGTGGCGATGAGTACAGCTACAACTGTGGTAGAATTGATGGCGTTGTTAAGGCCTTCAGCGTGCATTTTATCTAGGCGTTTAGCAATGCCATGTATCCGTTTTCTTGTCTGTCGCGTGTGTTCCATTTGATAGTGTACTTCGTGTTTTATTTCACTAACTGTTTGTTTCAACTGTCTTGCTGGATTTGTAGTCTGAGGCTTGATGGCTCGGGCGCTTTGTACACCAGCTTCCTGTAGGATGACTGCAATATTTGCCTGTCCCATTTTCTCTGCAGTGTCAAGAGCTGTTTCCTTTGATCTATTGACAGCTTTGGTATCCGTCTCGTTCTGCCCAAGTAAAAACTTAACAATCTGCATATTTCAAAAGAGATAGTTAGTGACAGGTAACCTGCCTTATTTTTCGACTTGATAGTTTAGAAGAACTTTTCAAAGTCGATAAACAAACTCCAAGACTCTAAACATCAAGAAAACCTGCATACATGCAAAGTAAACAGCATACCTGAGCCCTTCCTTTCCTGGATGCAATATGCAATGCTGTATTGCCCTTCGTGTCAATGATATTTATCAACTTAGCATCTGCTCTAATCAGCTCCTCCACAACTTCAAGGTTTTGTCCTTTGACAGCCATGTGAAGTGCAGTTTGCCCCTTTTTATCCGTCCGGCTTGCCATCCTTGGCTCCTTATTCAAAAGGGCCTTCACTACTTCCACATGACCATTTCTTGAAGCAGAATGCAGGGCTGTTTTTCCATTACTTTTAGCAATAGTGGCCAAACTACTCTCTGCCTCCAATAAATAATTCACCATCTGAATATGCCCTTGGTTTGCTGCACTATGCAAAGCTGTTGTATTTGCAACATCAACAGTCATTGAGAGCTCAGGATGTACCATCATTAGTACCTTCACCACATCTGCAACATTAGCGAAACAAAAGATTCATCGAAAGTCCACTAGAAAACTAGATTTTGAGAATAGAGAATGATAATCCAGATGCTATACTACCATCAACATACCCAAATCCCCTTGTTTAGCAGCAATATGCAACGCATCAAATCCGTTCCTTGCTTTGATTCCAGCAGCAGCAAGATCATAGTACTTAATCATCTCCTTAACTAAATCACAATAACCATATTCTGCTGCAACATATAAAGAAGTCTCTCCAGCTGAATTTTGCTTTACCAACAGCTCTGTCAATTCTTTATCCCCCATGTTATCGATAATCCCTTTTATTTCAACAAGATTTCCAGCTCTAGCCAATCTATGCAAGACACTGTCTTCACGTTTCCCCGTTAGTTGTTTCTTCATCCTTTTAGAGGGCATAGATGCCTCCATCCTATTCAAATTGCTCCAAAAAATTCACCCTTTGGCCTAATGCTAATCCTTTACCAAAATCCTCTTCCTCAAATACCCAAATCAGCAACAACATTTTTCAACACCAAGAAAGATTCAGAAACCAAAAAGAGCAACTTTTTTCTACCTTATACTGCTGGATTCTTCAAAAAGACATAAACTTGAACTTCATTTCCTCCTCCCACATCAGGTTTTCGTAGAGATCAATGCCCTGCTAACAACAAATGACTTCAATTCCTTCTTTCGAATAATAATAGATAGTTTTTCAAGATAGTCAGGCAAATGGTGTCTATACCTGTAAACATCAATGCATTAGGGAAAATCATCTGCACCAATGAAAAAACAAGAAATTCAACATTTTCACAGTAGCGATGAAAGGAAAGGAAAAGCATGGATTAGTCGAAAAAAAATCTTTAACTATGTTTTTTTCTATACAAAGAACATAATCCATATATTTTACACTATTTGTCTTAGCCTTCCTCTTTGATAAAGATTGTCATCTATATAAAGCAAAAAGACAGTAAAATTTACCTAGATATGAATAAAACTTCCATGTTTTTGTTCTAATTTGTCATTAAATATCCAAGAAGCCCCTAGTATATATATGTGATGAAAACAACCTATTTATTGGTTTTTTAGAGATGGAAGAAAAGCTTTAAAGTTTTTTTTGGGGCTGATATAAATTTGAACAAGTTGAGAGAAAAGGTAGAAGGAGGTTAAGAGAAGGGGAACACTAAAGGCACATGTATGCAAATGCAACACACAAACTTGTGAGATACACATGTACATGTAAATATATGGTCAATTACCAAACAGAGCTCTTAAACACTAAAAAAGAAGCAGAAAGATTCCACTTTTGTAAAGTTGGTTATAATGAAATATGATGGGGATGGTTTGAATTTTGTATATTGACTATTGAGAAGGCTCAAAACTAAAAATGTGTTTATTGATGTGGATCCCCTTATTAGTTACTCCCTTTCGTGCCAAAATAAGTATCACTTTAGTAAAAAAAAATGTCCCAAAATAAATGTTTTCAAGACAATTTTATAGAGTGTGTTTTTCGAACTATATTCTTATATTCCATGTTCTTAATAGAGTATTATTTTCTACATTACATACCCCCTTTATTTAGAACTTCATTAACTAGTTATTTTAACATGAATGCTTGTGTAAGTATGTTCTATAATGAGCATTGTTAAGAGATATGACATTTCATTCTTGCTCAGAAGTTTTGAATTTGATCTTTGAATGGAGAAAGTCGTGGTAGGAAATATTTTCTCCTTTAATGGGCGTTACTTAGTACAAATCTGAATTAGTCAAGGTCCAATACGAGTATCAAACACTGGATAAAAATACAAAAATGTTGTATAATGTACAGCCTTGGCGATTCAAAAAATAAAAAAACAGAAACTAGAAAAAAACATGAGTTCTTTATTTTATTTTTTTATCTTATCTTATTTACAGATATAAATCTTGCCAAAAGGAATCAATTTTTTTCGATATTTTTAATAACGGCTAAAATATTAGAACTTCTTCGTGAGGGTAATGCAAGGTTATGAGCTTCATTATATTTTCTCTCTCGAATACTTCAGTTAATGGTATCCACTAATTAATAATACGATTTTCATCATCCTAATTATGTCCAAAAGCATATAATTGGATGTTTGTTTATTCATTTATTCTAAAATGTTTATTTCTTTATCTAATAGACGTCATGCAGAGAAACATCCTAAATTATGTTTACCAACCTCACATATATATCCATCTTTAAATCTCATTAATTTGTTTATGATCGACTAGTTCTATTCGAAAACTCAACATTTTATTTTATTTTAAAAAAGGACATAAGAAATAAAAGAATTACTAATAATGGAGGATTATTATTTGCTCATCAAGTAGTAAAGTAAACAAAAGTTATATATGAATGTTGAAATCAACACATAATAATTTTGTGATTATGAAAAGCAAGAAAATGTTTTGTTTTGCTTAGTGATGAAGGCTAATTATAGTGGGATGCAAAAACTAGGAATACCCCACAGAATCAAACTTTAAAGTTAATATGCATGTGGGCATTCTGTAATCCACCCCTTTTCATTTTTCAATTACACAAAAGTGATTCATCCCATCACTTAAATAGATTATTCATGATATGAAATTAAAAAGATTCTTATATCTATGATTTCAGATTTATTAGCATAAATAAAGACAATTCTCTGAAAATCTCCTTTAGATCATCTAGAAACCAACCTAGCAGAACATTGTATTAGGAATCGCTTAAAGCTTAAATTTTACACCATTATTCTTTAGAGAGCTAGAATTTTTGCTAAGAAAATTTATTATATACCTATAGTAATTTTTCGAAATATATGTAGCAAAGGGAGTAAAATGTATCCTTACTTTATATTATTTTTAATAGCGTCGTCGACATAATGCCTATATATATTTTTTTTTAAAGAAAAAAAGAAGAAGGATGAGCATATTTTTTGCAATAAGTAACATGATTATCACAGCAATTAGAATAAATCACTCGACAATTACTGAAAACCTAAGAATAAAACAATAGATGATATAAGCGTCCGATTCTTCATTATCCTAAACAAACATATATAGTACAACAAATTAAGGAGTTAATAAAAAAAGAGGTATAGTTTTATTTCGTTCTAATCAAACGGCCGAAACTAACAAGTAACAACCATGACCAATATAAATAATTATAATAAATCCATATACCAGACAAATAATTTTAGAATCTGAATAATTAATTATATGTTTACATATTACAATAATATTAACATGTAATGTTATTGTGCGTAGCTGCTGATTCAGATATTAGATGCTCATTGACCTTGTGCATTGTATAAACAACAAGTATGTCCAACAAAAAAACTACAACATAAGACATCCAAAAAAACAAACACGTAAAAAGTATAAAAATAAGTAAGGTTCTAAATTAAAAATAGTAGCAAAACGAAATGAACTTTGGGTTAAAAAATGGATGTGTGCATAATTTGACAGTCCTATAATTTCTTTCGAAATTAAAAAAAATAAGAGGGAAAATAATTTATACTAAATTTTACAAAAATAATTTTTTCTGTCCAACTATGAACAATTGACATTTCCTCCCGACAGTCAAATAAATGGTGTAAGCTAAAGAATGCATGGATCCTCTTAAGTCGTTTCGGTCGATGATTAGAGTTATGCTGATCGAAAAAAACTATTAATAGAGTTTACTTTGTATAATAAAATACATATATTGACTCATAATCTATATATTTTATTTATGTGGAATTATAGAATAGTAACCAAGCGTGGCTGATTTTCATTCAAAGCACTAAAAGCTATTGCTCTCTCCGTTTCACAAAGAATGGTCTAGTTTGACTTGACATGGAGTTTAAGAAAATAAAAAAGACTTTTGAATCTTGTGGTCCTAAATTAAAGTTATGTAAAATGTACAAAATTGTCCTTCAATCTTGTGACCTTAAACATGTCACGTGGAAAACTGAATTAAAATGTTGCCAAAAAAAGAAAAAGGTCATTCTTTTTTAAACAGACTAAAAAAAAAGGAGGTCATTCTTTTTTAAACGAAGAGAGTACTAAATATGATTCTCTCTCCGTCTCAAGTTATCTACATATAGAACCAAAAATATTAATTTTCAAGTAATGGACAAGTGTGTTTTGCTAGTCTTAATAGTGATGGTCCTTTCATGGGTCGAGTCCAATTCAAGATGCCATACCTTTCATGACCATTGGTCCGCTAACGCTTTATATTCCTATTTATGAGCGACAACCTACTTCGAAATTTCCAATTTTCTATGGAGGAACTAATCTATCTAATTGTCCAACCCCAGGCCCAAGCAAACTACGAGCTCCTGATGATAAACTTGGAATACAGACCCAGAATGGTCCTGTCATGGGCTGAGCCCAATTGAGATGCCATACTTCTATTCATGAAGTATTGAATTGAAAAGATTGTTCGTAATGCACCATCAAAATACTCCCTTAATATTCTCATAAAATAGTCAAGTAATTCTATTATCTTTAATAATATAATTTTTTAGTACTGTAAAAATAATATAATTAATACTTAAAAAATCATATAATTCACATCCTATTTTATTAGCTTGAGATGTCATTTAATGATCGTAGTGTCAAATGAGCGGTTGAATTGATTTAGAACAAGTTAAAATGAGTTGAACTAATGAATGAGCAAAATCTTAGTCCACCTAAAAAGGTTGCTTGAGCTAAAGTTGACTTGGGTCAAACAAGGTCTTTTTAGAAATATTTTGAAAAAGTTTCTTATGGGTCCATTTGAATTGCATGTCAATAGGATTGAATTTAGTAAATAAGGTACATCATTAACTGCCATATTTTTCAGACGTTAATACTGACGATCTTAAATAATTGATTGAATCAATGAAGTAGATTAGCAGTCAATTTTTGCATGTAATGATTGTCATAACTCATACTAATTGTTATAGAATTATTATCAATAAATATTAGGACAACTGAATTTGCAAGGATAGTAATGTTAATTTGGCGTATATACTAATGCACTTGTACCAGGCAGGCAACAACCACTTGCATTCCAACCTTATCGTTATTCAGGAAGATAACAATATTTTTCGTAAATAGTCTCAATCCAATAGAAAGTTTACTTATATGGGGACGGACATATATAAAGCCAAATGTGACTCGTCTTGTACTTTTACTTTGTTATTGTTTCAGTTGATTTTGAATGGTCTAGACTCTACAACACCTCCAATCAACATATGCGACTCTTATCGTAACGTACCAAGTTGCCTACCATAATTGTGGGCACCAGCCACCAAGTTTGTGACTTTTGTAGTCAAAATAATAACCCACTAGAAAGGATTTCAATCAAACTAAATAGACAATAAAGTACCGTTGGTCAAGGGCAATTCCTAGTTTGACAAAATCCTCCTTGGATGCATAGGTAAGAGCTATTCTTGTGCAATTGATTTTCGAATAAAGCAAAAAATGATAACGACTTCCACCATCAGCAATCGTAGCTGATAATTCAAACTTAGAACTAGCATATATAATTTCAAATTTCATAAAGCTACTCAACATAAAGAAATAACCCAGCCTTTATTCTGATGATGAGAAAATATAGAACATAGCATCATTGACATTTTTATGTACTAATAAATTGCAAAATGAACAATGTACAACTTTTGTATCTTTTACACAAATGAAAGAATACTTCATGTCTGCATTCACTCTATAGTGTAGGAATACTCAACGCCTCAATATATATAGTATTCACTAAAACCAAAGGATGCCACGTAAACGGAAACGGAGAAAGTACTATTAATTATTGTCAACGGCCTTGTGGTGGCGATGACCACGTTGGGGTCGACCGTGAAGATGACCCATGCGATGACGACGTCGTACTGGAGTTTTCTGAAGAACCGTGAAATAAATCGGATAAGTAATTTTGCACATTGTCAGGGGCAAATCTGAGAATTGACTCCACTCCGCCACCACTCTCCATCCACGCCACCTTTTCACCGTACTTGTGGTAAAATGGCCGATAAGCCGAAAGGATCTTCTTCGCCAATGATATTTTCACTTCATCACGGAGTTTCGGGTCGGGTATAACCCATGATCTTTGCTTCCAGTATGTCTCTTCGAAACTTAAACCGAATTTACAGAAACATTCCTTCGCTTCCGCCGGAGAAATCTCAGCCGTTGAATTCTCCGGCAGTGACGTCATGACACTTCTCCAACCCATTCTCTTGAAATTCGCCATGTATTGTTCTACCTTAGATTCGTGGTTTGAAAGCCAATCGGGTCCTAATAGGAGCTTCAGGCTGGATTGTCGGACCTTCGAAACGACGTAGTTTAGGTTGTTTGCTAAGAACAAATAGGATAACGGAACGTCACCGTAGAACCCTGCTTTGCCGTCGAGTTTGCAGAGGAGAACGAGGATAAGCCATGTGAGTCGTACGGAAACGATACAAGACGGTGAGTCCCCGTCGTCGGCTATTGGACTCAAGAGGTAAGATTCCGGCAACGGTGACTTTACCACTGCCTTCCAATCGGCGATAATATCGGAGACGGGTCCACTGTAATCACTGAGGAAAATAAGGTAGTTCATAACGTAGCGTGTTAGAGGGTGGATTCCGCCACCAGCCACTACTTTAGATGAATCTTTCTTAATCGCCGATTCGAACTCCGCCAGCATGGCTCGTGCAGCATCTCGTAGCTTGGCCATGGAGGTCAGCGCCTGAGATTTAACAGCAACCGTAGAATCGAAGCCGAAAATCACTTCAATTTCACTCAAGAGTTCAGAAATAGAGTCGTAGAGGTCGAGAATACGGAACATTTTCTCTAGAGATAGCTTCTTGTATTTCGCCACCATCTCCGGGAAGGTGAACAGAGTTAGAGCACTGTCTTTTGCAATCCCTGTGAAACAAGACTCTCTGATGCTATCGGAGATGGAGAAAACTTGGTCACAGAGAATCCTCTCGCCGTAAAACAGAGTACTAACAGCAACTTTAACAGCATTCAACCAGATCTTGATTTTCTTCTCCAAATCTTTCCATTCCATTTTCTGAACGGTTGAAGGGCAAATATTTTCAACCCCCAAGTAATACAATGTCTCTTCGATGACAGATTTTCGATTAAGTTCGTAAATCTTGGAGCATTCTTTTCCATACCCTGCTTCAATCATACAATCAGCAATAGCTTTCAGATCCACAGCTACAGAAACCTTTTCACCTTCATCAGCAATTGAAATCTCAGCAAAACGAGCTTCAATTTCAGCATTATCATCTTCGGAACCTTGATCTTCATCCGAACCACTGGACCTGGTGGATTCTCTTGACCCACTTTCCGAGTCGAGAAAGTATCGATTTCCGGCCAAAATGGTGTAGAACTCCTTCTGAAGTCTCTTCATGGCGATTTTCATTAGATTTTGAGCTCGAACAAGCAATTGGGAGGTGGAACTTTCCTTTACAACAAACTGCATAGCATGTTGTAAATCAATTACAGCATCCAGAAACTGCTTAGCCTCTGTTCTATTATCTTGAAAGAGATTTGAGCTGGACTCATCAAGATCCCATCTTTTAATAATTTCTTCAGCGTTCTTTAATGTATCCTCCATTAAAGTGTCACTGAATTTATGAGTTGTGGATTGTGAAGAAGCATGTGGAGGGGATGAATGTTTTGATAAAGAGAAAAACCCAGTCATTTCTTTTCGTGCAAAACTGAAAAAAAAACTCAAGAAGCAGTGATTCAAGTAAACAAAGGAAGTTCTTTTACTTTAGTTTATTAGGTTGAAAGAGAGTTAGAAACTCGATGAATGAAGAAAATTGAGTTTGATGGGGATATGAGTGAAAAATAGGGGTATTTATAGAAGTAAGGCTGAGAAAGTTTGACCTAAGGAGAACTGAGAAGGAAGAGACATGGAAATAGGCGAAGAAGAAGAAAGAATTCTGCAGTGTGCAGTCTGCAGTAATAAACTTCTTTTTGTAATTATTCATATCCACAGTTAATTGATTCGTAAAGGTCCACAGTTCCACTAAATATAATAAAAGGAAATAGGCCTTCAACTTATATGACATAATAATGAATTTTATGTTTGAATTTAAGATCAAGATTTAATAATGAAATCTCAAAAATTTAACAAATAAATTGAGACGTACAATTTTTTTCATTTTTGGGATCATATTAGTACCTCTTAATTTTATTTTATTTTAAAATGAAGTAAAAATCATCCTAAAATTAGATGATCAGATATTTAGGAGAGTTACTTGACACCTGCCCACTTTCTTAAGTTTAATAACTTCTTAATTGTTATATTTCACCTTGTAAGTTTGAGTTCATAGATCTTAAAATTCTATCTCTTTTATTTTTAATATTTTGTGTATAATCAAATTAAGATACATGAAATATAGTAAAAAGTTAAAATAAAACAATTCATTTTGATCAAACTTCTATAGTCTACTTTTTATTATTCTATATCCGTCTTATTTTATGTGGCACTTTAGGAATTTTGAGATCCAAATAAATCTAACTTTGATTATAAATTTTTCATATATCTTTTACACATTTTAAATTATCAATTATTGTGACTTATACTACTTTTTATCTAGTTTACAAATATACAATTTTCATTTAAAAAAAATTAAAGATTTCACGCGTAAATTCTCGATCAAACTTAAATTCTTTTGACTCTCGAAAAACGAAAAATATAACGTAAATTGGGACAAAGAGAGTACTTACTCTTTGAAAGAAAAATTTGATCAAACTCTCAAAAAAAAAAAAATTGGTCAAACCCGGGATAAAAAGTTTTGAACATAGGAGGAAAACTAGTAAGCAAGTTGATAAGATCCATTACTCGATCGTTTGATGTTGATGTTTGAAATAAATTTGCAAGAAAAGGAAATTAGGTCGAATTTTCTTTTTAACAAACTAACTTTAAATGGGACTTGGATGCAAATCACCGCCACCTGTTAATCTTTTGATCGGTTAATAGGTACTTAACCTAAAACTTGGTACTCATGAAGGAAAGTAAAACTCATTGAATTGTTTTGAGACCAGATTGGTAAGTAGTTTCATCGTTTGATACCCATAAAATTTTTATTTTTTATTTTTATGAATGTTCTATATTTTTTCTGGTGGAAGAGAATAGATTAGTTTATAATACTATTATTTAGAAAAGGATAAAGATTGAGTGTTGTATATATTATTAAAAGAAGAGATAAATCAATTGTACAAAAGTACACGTACCCTTCGATTTATAAAGATTTGTTGGATAAGACCAACGTAGGCCCACGAGAGAATTGAAGTAGCCGAGGTCGAGGTCAGAGGCACAATCAAACATAAGTTTACGTAGGTGAATTTAGTTAAAAAGTAAAAATTATGCTTATTTATAATAGTTTTGGACATGATAATAAATATTTGATTCTAATAAATAATATTAAAGTCAAGGTCAAGAATTCATTACGAATAACAACATGCACCAAGCAGCTTAAGTTGAACGCTTGATCAAAATGAATGTTGTTTTAGACTTGTAGCCAAGCCAATGTGCTCAAAAGTCAAACACTTGGGAGATTGATAAGATATTGACTATTTTGCTCCAATAGATGATCTATACAATATATTTTTTTCAAAACCAGTTGAAAGGTAATTTGAGGAAAGATGAAGGATGATTTAATGTGTAACAAAAGTCTCAAGGGTCGTTTGGTCGGCCGAATAAGTTATTTCACAATAATTAATCTCGTGGTAAGCTATTTCATCATATATATGAGCAGTAGCGGAGTCAGAATTTTCAATAAAGGGGTTCAAAATTTGTAGAAATAGACACACAAAGTAGACGAAGGGGGTTCGACATCTACTATATATATATAAAAAAATATTTTAATCATGTATAATTAATATAATTTTTTGCCAAAGGGGGTTCAGATGAACCCCTTAGTACTAGGTGGCTCCGCTTCTATATATGAGATAACTTATTTTATCACTATGACAAAAATAGTGGGATAAATAATTCAAAAACTACCTAATACTTTCAATAAAACATAAAAAAAATAATCCTATCCTGAAATTATTATTCCTGATACCTCACGAACTCACACTAAACGACTCCAAAATAATTTAAATCATGGGGAGTAATTTAATATATCTTAATCTTTCGTCCAATGATAATGATTACTTAATCTCATTTATCTTGAACCAGAGAACTTGTTATTGCCTCATTATTACACCCTCATACAAGTGTATATAATATTAGCATATGGTTGAGTAGACCATTTCAATAATGTTGGACTTTGCCGTTACTAGTATTTTTTAAATTATAATAATGTGAGACTTTTCTACCCCTCAAATCTCGATTAGCTCCAAATTTATGACAGTGATTGTATTATTTTAATCATATTTGGCTTCACCATTTCTAGTAGGTCAATGTTATTCGTGAACAATTGTAGTAATACTATAATTAATTAAAAATTTAAACAGTCAATTACTTGATTTTTAAGTAAGTAGCAAATATTTATTAATTTTAAAATTGAAATTGAAAAGTATTTACCATTTGAGTAACTCCCTCAGTCCCTCTTATTATTTGCTTACTAAGTTTCGTTGTCCCACTATTAAATTTCTATATGGAAACAATTTGTCTTGGCTGTAAGTTATAAAGGAGCTCATTATTATATATAGAAAATCAGTTGGATAATTTAATATGTGAAAACTAAAACATAAATAATTTCAATTCATTTTAATTACTGATATCAGAGAATTGTAAAGTCGGTGTTAATAAAACAGTAACATCGTCGTTCATGCATGTGGCAAAAAATAGTGTTTTTGTCTCAATGTACGTACTTTGTCTTTATTCTACCTAATTACAGGACCGACTTAACTATAAAAACAAATACTTGGAGCCTCAAGGGCTTCACTTTTTTCTAATTTAATTGTATACTAATTAAATTGTTGGAGTAATATATCATAAATATTATAAATTATAGTTAAAAATAAAATGACAAAAAATAAATAAATAAATATTCAGGTTGAGGTGTGGATATCTCACTCTCTTTAAGGAGATTCGGGCTCATTGCGGCATAATATACACCGATTAGTTGAAGAGTCAAAGGTCCACAAATAGAACACCTTCTTCAAAATATAATTATTCTTTTTTATACCGTGAATAGAATTAAGACTTAGAATGTTTTTCTTTGTTTCTTCCTATCAATACAAGGTATGATCATACTTTTCTAGGTGACAATGAATAGAAAGATTATGGGGAACTAAATTAGATAATTGAATAGCCCAAAAATTACATAAGTTGCCAGGTATAATAAGATAGAATAATGAGTGGAAGTGGTAGATCATGACAATAGTGGTTACAAGAGTTACACCACAATAATGACCACATTCTTATCAATTTATACACACTAACATATGCACTTAATATTGTAATTTTAGTTTTAAAATGCACAAATAACAACATAAATTAAAATAAAACAAAAGAAATATACATATACTTTTTTTAAAAGTCTTTGTGAAAACTAACATGTTGACAGAGACATATCTGCTTCAGCTTCAAATTCTCTTATATAATAATAGAGTATATCTACCTTTTCATTTTTCATTCACTATTCTTATTTTTTTTTATTATAATTGAATATTGTGAAGTTCTTCAAACGATAGAACCTTCTGCAAAATCTATTTATTAAATTTTTTATACAAAAATATTGTTTTTTGATGTGTTCTTTAACATTTCAGCATAGCAAAAAATAATTATTATATTAAAACATCAATACGATTTTGATATCATTATATCAACTTATTAAATTCTGAAGTCAGATATCATTATTCTAATTTTATATTTTTCATTAAAAATTTATACATATGATGCTTTTTTTTTTTAAAAAAAGAAAGTGTTTAATCTACATTTAGCTAGGAATTAAACAATTAATCTACGGACTACCGACGCACAAGATCTAAACTCATGTTCGTTAAGATTGATGTTTCCATATGTCGAAGACAAGTTCGTTGAACATAAAGATATAAAAATATAAAAATATATTACCTTCTTTCTTAAAAATCGACCAATGAGGAGTAAGTATCGGAACAAGCAACAATTTCCTTTTTTATTTTGGCAAGGAAATGTAGTTTAATTTGCTAATCTTGCTAACCCTCCATATCTGGCATATTAAGTGGATCTGGTGCCTTCTTCCCATTCCATTAACACGTATTATCAATATTTCAAAATCCCTAATTTTCGACGGAAAATTTCACGTAATTTATTTGGTTATGTTGGTATCCTTTTAGATAGATTTTTTTTATCAAAGAACTTTACTGATGAGCCAAATTTTGACAAGATGTATGTCAAATATAAGCAATTTTCTATGTGTATCAACAAATGAAATAGTATGAAAGGTATTCAGAAGTGAATATAAAATTTGAACTTTATGAATTCTCAAATAACTATAAAATAATTATAGAGCAAAATGGAAGTAAAGTATTTATATATTGATACCATTTTTTTTGCACAGGAATAATGATATAAGGTATCATATAATTGATATTACCTTATTTGAAACTAATGCGTAGTTATAATAATTGTTGTTTTAACTTGAAACTAGTCTCACCCATCCACCCCACACCAAATAAAAGAATCAAAAAGAAAAGAAAAAAAATGTGTACTTACCTATGATAACTAATCAACTTGAGATTGACTCATGTGAAGAAATCGTAGATATTAATTAACTTTGTTTTTAACTTGCAATATTCCAATTGAGATTGGTTTAAAGTTGACTAATTTAAACCCAAAAGACATAGGAGAAGGCCATCGATCTAGAATAGGAACAAACACGTGGTTATATATTTGTAATTTTGTATTATGCAAAGTTAGATAAAGCATAATTAAGTTCATTAACAATGCTATACTTTAAAGTTCCAACTACGTACCTAGTTCGTATTTTATTGTATGCTGACT